AGCTGTTGGTCTCTGTTCCTTATCCCTCGGAGGCCGCTTTCAGGAGATGTGCCGCACACTGTCACGCCCCCAGCTTTGATCACAGGCTCCAGCTGCTGAACACGGGGGGGTTTGTGGGTGTCGGGTGGGAGCTGGCGAGCGGCGTGCTCTGCCTTCGCCAGGACTCCTCTCCTTCCCAGGGGTACGTGCGGCTGCGCCAGCAACAGCCGAATCGTCGCTGATGGCTTGACTTTGTTCTCCTTAAGACTGGAGAGATTGTGCGTAGCCAGGGTGCTTGCGATCGCGGGTGCTAATGGAAGGGGAGCGCGCTGGGCGTTGCGGGAGGCGCAGGGAAGTCACTGGAAGCTGTACAGGAGAGCTGGTGCCAGGGCTTGCGTTTCACATTCCTAAAAGGAAAAGCTTAAAACTGATGCGGTGTAGCTGTTTTCCCAGACTTGTGCCTGTTGCCAAGGTGTTTTCACCGTGCAGGTGGAGGTACGGCCCTCGGCAGATGGAGTAACACGAATAAGTGCAGGGTGTCTGGCACTGGCTCCGGAGGCGCGTGTGTCCGGTTCTTAACAGTCAGCCTGGGCCTGCAGCGCCTTTGAACCTGGGAGAGTGAGGGTATGGGGTCCTGTCGAGGGGAAAACAGCCACAAGAAAGCTGGGAGGGACTTTTTACAAGGGCCTGTAGGGACAGGACACGGGGTAACGGGTTTAAATTGAAAGTGGGGAGGTTTAGGTTAGATATCAGGAAGAAATTCTTCCCGGAGAGGGTGGGGAGGCACTGGGACAGGTTGCCCGGAGAAGCTGTGGATGCCCCATCCCTGGAAGTGTCCAAGGCCAGGCTGGATGAGGCTTGGAGCAACCTGGGCTAGTGGAAGGTGTCCCTGCCCGTGGCAGGGGGGTTGGAACGGGATGATCTTTAAGGTCCCTTCCAACCCAAACCATTCCGTGATTCTGTGATTTGGAATAAACGGGGAAAAAGCTCAACTGAGATCTCCCTAACGCAGCACTGTGGGTTTGCTTTCCCACTTTGGGAAAGCTGTGCCCTCCAGGCCGGGGCATCTCCAGGTGCTGCGGAAGGAGACCTCTGCGGGGCTGCTGAGGTGCTCCGGGATGGCGGTACCACAGCAGGGTTTCACCACCAGTTGATGCCGCTGCTCGACAGCTCGCGTGGCCAGCTGCGGGGGGAGCAGCCTGCTCTGGAGAGGAGGAGGATGCTCCAGGTGAGCGCAGCGCTGGGTCACCTCCACCTCTAGCAGCAGCGCTTCGGCTTTGTTTTTCAAGACACTGTTTGCACGTAGCTGCAGCGTAGCCCTTGAGCTTGACAGGAGGAAACAACAGGGAACAAATTTCAGGTTTCCAGCACTTTAATACAGTAAACAAAGTCATTAAGTGTGTAACACATACTTCCAACCTGTAATTAGAATACTTCAATAAATGATTTAAATTCTTCTCTCCAGGCCATTTGACTTGCCGCGTACGTGCGCTCCCTCTTGTTTGAGGCAGCCTGGCCCTGGCCAAGCTGCCAGCCGTGTCCCTCCGTGCCTGCGTGGGCCGTGGCACTGGTGTCACCAGGACTCGGGTGCCGGTGCTGGGGCTGAGGAATGGTACCCACGGCTGCAGAGATGCCCGTGCTGCGTGGCTAACCCGCTGTGCGTGACCGGAGGAGCGAGGACTGCAGCATGGCCCAGCCCAGGTGCTGAGCCCTGACCCTGGCACAACTCCCTTTTCCTAGGCGAGTGATGGCTGAAATGATGGTTAGCACAGCTCCTTCGTGGGCTGGACCGAGCTGGGCTGAGCCACTCGTCATCAGGCAGTGGGACAGGGGCCTGAGGCATCTGAGTAGCTAGTTAACCTCTCCACAAGCCTTCCTGGCGTTCCTGATCCACCTTTAATTCTGCCCGAGCGTGCTGGGTGCGTGAGGAGTGGCTGTATCCTACAGCGAGGTGTGACTGGCAGTGCCGGGAGGGTTTGTGAGCTGTTTTTTATCACTTAGAGGTGTCGCACGCCGGACTGTCGCATTCCTGGGCTGGCTGTACTGAAACACCAAAATACCTGAGTAAAGTGCAAAAAATGAGGCCAGGCTTACTGACTGCCTACCTCGTGAAAGAGCTGCAGTTTATTTTCACCGTACCCAAGGTAAGATTCCCCTCATAGGAGGGTACGGGCATCAGGAATGTTGTTGGGAAGATGGAGAGCGGATTGCACTCGAGTTCGGGGTGGGCTGCAGTAGTGCCCGTAACCGGGGGCAGGTACATGGCGGCTGTGTCGGTGACCGGGTTGGCGATATACTCGGACACGGTCTGCGTGTGCTCCGTCACCTCCACCGCCATCCTCTTGTAGAGGTCAGGATGCTGCTGCTCGCAAACCTCTCCATCCGCTGTGCTGGGGAGAGCCTGGTAGTCCTGCCCCGAGCCGCTCCCGGGCAGCCAGTCGCCGCTTCCCCGGCTGCCGGAGAGGAGCTTCTCCTGGAGGGTGCGGGGGTCGGCCTTCGCGAAGGCTTCCTCCACGTGGGTTGTTTGGGGCTCTTCGAAGCTGCCGGCGCTGTGCAGGAACAGGGGGGAGGGCAAGCTCAGCTCGGGCTGCGGAGGGACCCAACAATTAATGATGTGATCGATATCCTCTGCCCTTCCACCCCCACCACGCAAACATCCCTCTGCACAGCAGCTAATACCACTAAAAATGTAAGATCTTTACGTTATTCTCACATTTAATTTGCATTTTAATATGTCCCACAGTGTGAGAACAGAGCTCATCCGCTATCAGAGATCGCTGGATTTGCTGCATTAAGACATTACTGACTTGCACAGCTCCGAGCGCTTTTTCTTCTGAAGGTGGTGGGATTAGAAGGAAAAAAAAAGTCCAAATTACCTTCGTAGAGAGGTAGTTCTTGGCCCACGTGGCGTTGGCTGGGTCTGGGATGGCTTTGCTCTGCCACTGCGGCGCGAGTGCCGAGAGGAACGAGTGTAACCTGCAGATTGAACGCGCGCAGTTAAACGCTCGGATGCCGATACCTGCCGACCCGGACGTGGCTACCGAAGCGCTCGGTGTGGATCTGATGGGAGGGGGATACCGCAGAGAGCCCAGCTGCGTGGGGAGCTCCTCAGCGGGGGTGAATGCTGCCCAGCATCCTCCTCCTGCCAGATGTCTGCCCGCGATCCAGAGCGTGCCGGATCCAGCCACGAGCCCCAGCCCTGCGCGACCCAGCTGGCGACACGTGCACGTTGCTCTAAAGGAAACCAGTTTTTAACCTCCGGGTTTAACTTTGCTCCCAGACTAAGTGCCAAGGGTTGTACCCCTCCCATTTTGTTGGGGTGGAAGCAGACCGTGAGCTCTAGGTTAAAAATTCACAATATATGTGAAATGAGGCTCTATTTTAAGGTCAGCAGGTGTTCCTGTTAACGTTTGTGCACTCTGAAGCCTTTATTCAGAACAATCCTCACTGTTCCCCAAGGTGTCCTGAAAGGCCATGACCTTCTAATAACAATTCCATGTGTTATTGGAACGTAACAGAGGGATCCACTCACGCTTTTCTTGCCGGAGGCAGAGAACAGATGCAGGCTGAGAGGATGAGGAAGCTGCAGGAGAGCACGACAGCCATCCAGTCCCCAGCACCTGCAATATGGAACACCCATCACTCATCTTCATTAAAAAACCCAAAACATTTAAATACGCCAGTTCAAGTTGGACAACAGCGGCGGCACGACTAGCATCGGCGCTCACAAATCAACCAACATGGCTTTTTGGGTCAAAATCGGGAATTCTGGATGGACTGTTGGCGACAACAGTACTTTGCAACATGAAGATGTCCACCAACGTGTTTCGAGATCCACAGTCTGCACCCCAAACCACGCAATTGCCGATCTCTTCCAGCACAGGACCAGACGACGTTAATTTGGGGTGATGCGTGCAGCGGGGAGGTGTTAAGTAGGAAAGATCTCCCCAAATTCAGTGCCTCTTTCACACACGGTCAGTGTTTCTCGGTGAACACCTTGGCTTTACTGTGCTTGCACCATCTGCTTAACAGGCCATTTTTGCAAATCCAGGTTGTATACCAGGAAAACCTGAGATTGGTCCGTATTGCTTTAATTTCCTCTCCTGCTCAGCAAACCGGGTTTCTCTCCAGAGGACCCCTGCTCCCGTGCTGCGGGGATGAGTTTCCTAAGGTACGCCACTCGGGAGCTTGGAGTTATTGTGGCACAGTGCTGGGGAGGAAACGCAGCGAAACAAGCTTTCTGGAAATACCTGGGCACAAATTTTATCAACTCCCTTCTTGGGTTTTAGTAATAATTTGTCTTGATCTGGGCTCACAACTAATTTGATCAAAACAATCCGTCTTGCAGGACAGAAAACCTGATTACTGCTGTTGGCTTTGGGAGAGGGTGTTACTTTTGGGGGGCTCGGGAATGGGGACCCCGCACACGATGCTGTGCTCCTCGGGAAGGCTCCGAGGCCACAGCAGTTTTCGTGCCCACGGGTCCTCACCCAGCCACCGACCCCTGGGAGATGCGGAGATACGCAGGACTTTCTGCAGGGATACCCACGCCAGAGCTTGAAGCACACGGATATCTGGGCCAGCAACCCCGAGGCACCAAACCCTGCTTTCCCCCTCCCCAAGAAACCATCCTGCTGGCCTTCAGCTGCCGTTGAAGGGTACAGCTAACGTCTCAGCATGAAACCAGGCGCTTGAAGACAAAGAGATGCTGTGCTTCAAAGCTACAGCTCTGCCCTTGCTAGAGCAGTGGGAAAAGCATTCCCAGCCTGTGGAAAACAGGTGCCCAAGGGCTAGGACCTCTCCTGGCCCCCCCACCCCAGCAGAGGCTCGTACTCTCGAGGCAGACGAGCTCGGTGTTGCCCCAGGGCCCCTCTCCAGCAGCAGTCGATGCCGTCATCCACAGGACGTAGTGCTCGCCCGGCCGCAGGTGGGTGACCAACAGGGAGCGCTGGGTGCTCCCGCTGGAAACGTCTGGAAGGAAAAAGGGGAGAAGCAGGTGAAGTGCCCGACGCATGCGTTTCCTCTCAACGAGCTGTGCTGAGAGCATAGGGAGGTATTTGACGCTTTAACTAATTTCCTTTTCTATGTTCTTGCATCACTGGAAGGGCCATAAAAGACCCGTGTGCTGGAGGGGTGACCTGTGCCACCATAAAGATGGGACACCCGGGGTCGCGTGTGCTGGCCTCTGCAGCTTGATAGGTGAGTGTCAACCTAACGTGAGGTTTGGGCGGTGGAGCTGTGATGCATCCGCTGAAAACCTTCATGCAGCTTCTGCATAAAATTTAACAACTTCAGGTGTTTCTTGGGTGGAAGCCTGGGAGCTCAGCAGACGGAGTGAGAAGGGAAAAGGGTGCGGGAACGCAGCGGGGGCTGCCTGCCCAGCGTGCCTCCGTGTCACGCGGAGCACGTGCTTGTGGGATGGGGCTTCTAAAAGTCTGTGATGTGCTTGTTGGCAGGGTAACAAGGGCCTGCAGCGGTTGTGGCTTCAGAAAATAACTGAAAGAAGAGAAAAAGAAGAAAAAGCAGGGAGCGATCTGATAGTTCCACATTTAAAACAACTTAGAATGATCTGACTCCAAGCTGGAAGCCTGGAATGTGTGGTCCTGATGGGGTTTAGATGGGATGTCAGGGACAATGCCTTCCCGGAAAGGGCTGTCAGGTGTTGGAAGGGGCTGCCCAGGGAGGGGGGAGTCACCATCCCGGGAGGGGTTTCAGAGCCGTGTGGACGAGGTGCTGAGGGACAGGGGTCAGTGGTGGGCTGGGCAGTGCTGGGGTGACGGTTGGATTTGGTGGTCTTAAAGGACTTTTCCACCCAAACAATTCCGTGATTCTGTTCTGGGATGGGCAGCTGTAGCAGAGGAAGCTGACTGACTCTTGCTGCTGACCCACGCAGCAGACCAGCCCGTGACTCCCTGACCACACAGAGCTCTCTGAAGGCACCGCTCCTCCACCCACAGCACACACACCGCCTTGGTCTTCACCAGGCACCTACTGTAGACGCGTGGGGCTTCCCCGCTGTCCTTCTTCTGCAGGTATACATGGTACCCTGTGATGCAGCCCCTTTGCTGCTGGGCAGGGATTGCCTCCCATGAAACCAAGATGCCGGTGGCCCGCGTTGCTGTATATACCTGGGGACCAGCTGACGGCGCTGCAAAACATAAGACTGGCTATTGAAGCTGAGCTTAAGCTGGCTTAAAAGTATCTGGAAGGGTAGGACTGTGGTTTACCTTCTGCTCTTGAGTATCCCATGACTGATGCCACTTGTCCAGCTCTGTCCCGATAGAGTGCAAACACACTGATCTGATAGCACACGTTATCTTTTATGTGCTCTAAAGAAAGAAATTAAAATAAGTGGATGGTTACTAGTGAAAGTATTTACAGTCATGGCTGAAGTGTTTACATTAGCTGCTTAAATCTGAGGTTAATCTTCTGGTTATTAACACATCTTTCATAAAGAAGGGGGGGAAAAAAGCGCTTCTCTGTGATCTCCTATTTACTTGGCAGAACCTTCCTGTGTGTTAAGCAAGTGGCGTCAGCCCTTGGGAGGGTGAAATCCCTCATTTCCTCATGAAGCAGCAGCTGCTGGAAGAGCTGTACCCTCCGGAGGAAACCTGGGACCACGTTTTGTGCTCCAGGTAAGGGGAGGAGGTGATGTGCTGTTACCCAGCTCATTGCTCTCGGATACGAGGGGCAGGGTTAGGCTGTGCGTGAGGTCACTTAGGAGGCACGAGAATTGGAGAGTCATTTAGGTTGGAAAATGCCTCTAAGACCACCCAGTCCAGCCAAATCTCACACCCTAGTTCTTCCCCCTGCGAGCGTGCGCCCCCCGGGCTGCCCCTGCGGGTTCTTGGGGGGTTGACAGCAGTTTCCCTCCTTTCCAAAGCAGAGCACAAGGCTGTGGTGTGAACACATTGCTTTTCCAGCTCGTTCGAGGGTGGGGAGCTACACACCTCGGAGGCCCGGCATCAGGGCACAGGAGAGGAAAGCGTAACGAGGGTAACGCTCGCTGTCACCCCCACTGTAACCTCATAGCTCTCCGATGTGCACTGCCACGTAGTACCGGTTGGGATTAGTAACCAACAATTAGTAGGAAGGAAATAGTCTTTTCTTAAGCCTTTGATCTCTCGTACCTCTAGCTGGCTTGTTTCATTTCGGAGGGACTGTGATTTTTCAGAGGCGTTTCGCTTACCAGATCTGAATCTCGGCTGCGAGGGACTGTGGAGCTGAGCCCAGCGCAGCCACGGATTATTTTATTTTCCTCCTATACAGAAAGCTTGGAATGCCATCATTTCTTAGGCTGAGCTAGTAAATTATCATTTAAATTACTAAGTTATAATCGGTCTTATTCCTTAAAAACCTTTCAGACTGAAATGGTACCTCGGGAACAGCCTGTCTCGAGGTGGGAGTTACCTGCTATCACGGTGGACAGGCTGGATGCTGGAAGCTTTACCCAGGCTGGATGCGGCTCCGGGCGCGGGCTCCTCTGCGTGTCTGCCCACTCCACGACGTATCCGCTGACGGACGTGGGCGATCCGACGGGCGGTTTCCAGCTGACGAAGATGCTGCTGTTTCCCGTGGCTACGGCAGAGACTTTCTGAGGAGGAGGTAGATCTTACAGGGAGAAAAGAACAACCGAACAAAAAAGACACCGTCAGCGCAAATTTGCCTTGACCCCCGGAGGACTCGGTAAGTTTGATCTGTGTTTTTTGCGGTGTCTTGTCCAGTTTGGCACTACAAGAAGTATAAAAACTAAACTGCAATGGAAAGGGAAGGTCTTTGCGTGAGGGTGATCTCCGTGCTGACAGGAATAGAGCACATTCTTGTCTTGTCTCATGGTGCAGCCGTTTGAACGCACACAGCTTTGCTTGTTTATCCCATCCCCAAGCCCTGACGGACGCTGCCAGGGCACGGACCAACACCCTGCTCCTGCGCCGGAGCCACAAACACACACCGTCCCTGCACGAGGGTGCAGAGGGGGAGGGCGGTCTCTTCTCCCAAGGGACAAGTGATGGGACCAGAGGAAACGGCCTCAAGCTGTGCCAGGGGAGGGTTAGATGGGATATCAGGGACAATGTCTTCCTGGAAAGGGCTGTCAGGCATTGGAAGGGGCTGCCCAGGGAGGGGGAGTCCCCATCCCGGGAGGAGGTTCAGAGCCGTGTGGACGAGGTGCTGAGGGACAGGGGTCAGTGGTGGGCTGGGCAGTGCTGGGGTAACTGTTGGACTGGGTGGGCTTAAAGGCCTTTTCCAACCTAAAAGGCTCTATGATTCAATGATATTTTTGCACCAGTCCTACCTCTACCTAACGAAGGGGCTCAGGTAAGCAGTGCAGTCTGCAGGCTGGGGAGCTGTGCATTTGCCTCTAAAGGGGGAGACCATCCCGCGGATGTTCGATGCAGCACTGGGAAAAGGAGAAA